GGCAGTACACTTCTGTTTAGAATTCTTTTAATCTATCCATTCCCTGCTTTTATATTCATCTGATAGTTGAAGGTTCTCTGAAGGGTATTTTTTGCGTATGAACTTATTAAACTAAAAATGCTTAAAAGTGTGAGATTTACTTCCCTTTTTTGTGTTTTTTTTTTATTTTTTAATTTTTTGGTGGTTTGTGGGGTTTTTTTAGGGTTTTTTTTTTTCATAGCAAGATAGGCTCTTGTTTGAGTTGTTGAATTTCTATTTGCCTTTCTTGATTTTTTTTTTTTTGAGGGGTGGGGGGAGGGCAGGGAAAATAAGAAACAATTTATATGGTAGATCTAAAGTTTCATTAAAATTGCTTATGCCCTGTCCCAGGCATTTTAAGTGGGCCATCTGTCTAAACATCTCTGCATTTTTTTCTGATCATTTCCTCGACTTATTCATGAGCCATGGGAGGGCTCCTTTGTAGTCTCCATGTAGCTGGTTCAGTCTACCCCCACTGAATACATCTATGTGCTTGCATAACATATCTTTTCACAGTGCTGGAAATTCTCTGAACTTGGTTCAGATGAATGGCCCACTTTCTGAAGGTCTTTTTTTCTCCCTTTGCAAGATTTGTATGCAGAAACTGACCTTGGTGGCTACAGAATCCAGCACATTATTCTTGATCATTTTACAGGCCACCTGCTGTGAAAGTTATGATGAAGGATTTCTTAATGATTCTTTGACCATTAACATTGTTTTAAGTCAATATTTCACTTTTATTTAACTGCTGAATAGGTAATTGCACAATTGAAAAACAGCTTTATGGAGTGTCATATAATGTGGTTTTCAAACGCTTGTAATCTTTCAAACGGGAGGATTTGTTATGATAGTTTGGGATTTCTCTGTTTACATAAAGTATTATGCAGCAAAAATATCAAGTGAAGAGGAATTTGTGTTTTCCACCTCAGCATTAGAAGACATTTTGAATTGCAAGTATAAAAAGCTATACTCAATTTTCTGATCCTTTGGTGATCTGATGCTGGTGACATCCTAACTCATTTACATCATCAGTGGTAATAGGGAGAGGGAAGTTTATTTGCCACAAACTGCAGAAAATTGTAGTTTTTATTGAGTTCCTTCTATCTGATTGATTGGTGACAATCAAAATGGCCAGGACAGAGTTTTTACTTGATTTGCTTTTTGAGTGTCTATTTTATTTCATTACTTGTTTTGGACTAGAATAGATAATAGCTTAATTAATGTGTTCCATGAGCACAGTAAGTATATTTCGACCTAAAATTTTTAGCAGTTGTCTGCTTTCCTCAGTGAAAACATGCAAAGTAACCAGGAGCTTTGGTTGCTGTGTTATTCTCAAGTGTCTTCCTCTCCCACACATGGCACTTGGGGTTAAAAGGGATATAATACATTTCTACACACACATCATCTCTAGTTGAACAAGCAGCAGTAGAGCTTGAAAATAAATAACTAAGCAGGCAAATGGTGCCGTTTTTCTTGTTGTGTTGCTTACATGTTTTTGTAATTGGTGCTTTGGAGTAAAGCCTTTATGACTTAGAGCCAGGCCATCACTCTTCAGCTGTGTTCCTATGCTTGTGATGCTTCCCCTTAGAAGGCAATTTGGAGTGGAGAGGTTCAGAACTGCCCATTTTAGTGTGGAAGGAGTCTATAACCCCGTTCTCCACCCATCTCCTCTTGTGGCTGTCATGCTGCCTTTACTCTGTCCCTTTGTGTGCAATGCTCCTGGCAAGGATCAGCAGCTCACAGTTCTCCATGGCCCTGCTTCGCATCCACCTGGCACTAATCATGCTGTGAAACTTGTGTTTCTTCCTGCAGCCAGTGATCTCTATAGGCAAATGAAGTAATTTTATTGGATGATATGTCATTTGCCAAAACTGGGAGAGGAAAGGGAGGGCATGTTGAACCCTAGGAAAGACATACTGTGTGTACTCTGAATCTAGGGTTGGAAGAGAAGCGCCTTATGTTTTCTTTGTGTTTTTTATGATGGCAAAAATGACACTATTTTTGTTTTCAGTGGTATTATCCTTTTTTCTGTGAATACAGTATGTTGGATTTCAGCCCATTATGTAGAATTTTAAAAGTTCTATATTTTGAGAGTAGCCAGAAGTTTGGTAGTTTTCTGTGAACTAGTGTGAAATATATTCAGAGTTCAGATGCTTTCTTTGGGAAGACTTAAAAGTCTTCTCAGCTAAGGGAGCAACCTTGGCCAAGAACAAATATAATTTCCCATGCACTTGGATGTCTCTTATTTAAAAACCCCAAACATCACAAAACAACAGAAAATCCCACAACAAATCTTGTTTCCTAGCCTGGTAGAAACTTCTGCGTTTCTAAAGTAGTTCATGGACGTGAGCAACTTCGTTTTCATATTCAACAAATGTGGACTTTGGTCCTTACTTTTGAACTTCGTAATTCTTATTTATATGAATGTTCCCTACTCACAAATCCTATCAAAATGGAGTCTACTGCAAGATAATTTCTTTGAAAGGAATTTGGTTTAATGAAGAAGTAGGATTGTCATGAGCTCGCATAAGTATATGTCCTAGCTAGTGTCAGTTATAGTTAAAAAACCACAGGCAAAGCTGATTAGGAAAGCTGAAAAATGTCCCTGTGCAAAGGGATCTAGCAGTTCCAGGAGGGAATTGCTGTACAACTTGCTGTATACTTGATGTAGCTCTGGACCTTGCCCTCCTGGCCATTGGTGTGCAGAGAGAGGAATTATGTGGCTGTTTGAAACCCAGGCAAAGCAGTGATGATAGTCATGCCTTTCAAGAGGCATGCATCCTGTTTGGAGATACACTTGACAAAGCTCAGCAAGACAGGACTGAACAAAAATAATCCCTGCTGGAGAACAAGACTGTCTTTCCTTTGATGGCCAGCAGCCAGATTCATGAGGTCACTTCCAGTCAAATGCAATATGAAGCAGGGCTGTGCCAGCAAGGCTGTAAGGAATCTCATGTCACCAGTGAAGCAGATCTACTAAGCTGAGTTTGTGATGTGGTCCTAATTCTAATGTAAGAAATATGAAGTAGCTATAAACCACTAAATCCTTTTGGTTGTTGCAGTGGAGTGTCATGGAGAACTTAACCAGGTGCTGTCTGTAGTCTTCCTTACTGGTGCTCTGATACCAGGAAGTGCAATGAAAACATCTCTCAGCTTGCTGCCTGCTACCTGTGCAGGAAATTCCTCTTCCTCTTCTTCAGGAACTCCTGTGTCTGTCACATTTCCTATCAGCCAGTCTAAATGTTTGGTGACATACAGGAATTCCAATATGAGTTGCTGAGAAATGACATTGCTCCCAATAAACCATAGATAATTCCTCAGATTTATTGTTTTGACAATTGCCACTATATTAAATGTGAAAGGTGACACTTGGCATCGTTAGCACAGGAGCAGCTTGTTTTCAATATCTGTCTTGTGAACTTTTAGGGTAGTGATAGAGGTGAGCTAAGGTGCTTGGTGAAATTTGATGTAGGCCTTACTTGACTTGCATCCAGAAGTAACTAAGGATTGTATGCATCTATTTGTATCTGATATATTTAGCATTTTCATTTCCCCTTTTCAGGCACATGGCAAGGCACAAGTTTTTGAAAGCTACTTGCCTCATTAAGTACTTGAACCTGTGCTTTCTTAAGTTCCAGGTATCTAAAAAACTAAAGTTCTTAAAATAAGTGTTGGAATCCTTGGCAAGTCAGTGTTATTATCCTTGGCTTGGACAGATAATATCTCCTCCTGTGGCCTCTAGAGGCCTCACAGGTGCTTCTCCCTGTTGATTCCCCAGGAAACCTGAGCACTCCCTATGGGGACATGTGGTTCACTGGTCACCTGAATCCTCTGGAGGATCCACATGGCATATTGTGCTTACAGGTTTTAAGATTCTGCGGGATGTGATAAAAGGTGTAATAAGTGCTATAATGTATGATAGGTTAATGTTATAGCAGAAATGATCCTTAAAAGAGATGTAAAGGTGAAAAAATTATTATCCCTACAAATTTCTTACAGAAAAATCTAAATATGTAAGAGTCACTGTGGAAGAAAAGCTATACCAAAATGTGGTTTTGTTTTAATGGAGTTTAAACCACACCTTCCTGCCTTCCCTTTAGGCCATGTGGTGCATGCTCATGGTAATATATGGTATCCACTCATTAGAAAAGTTGTAGTGTACTTTTGGACACCAGTTCTTATGGCAAAGTGGGAGAGACTCAAGAAGTTAGAATGAGGAAATGGAGAATGAATATACATTTAAATAAAATAGCTGAAAATTGCATGTTTCACTCTGAATTTTGAAGAATGGAGGCTCAGTTCTCATTCCTTTGCTGCCAGGTGTGTGCTTTTTTAAGTTGAAAAGATTCAGGTTTTCTGTGTTACTTGATAAATGGTGCAGCCACAAAATGCTGCAGGAATCGGTACAATCCTCCATGTGGGCTGTGATGATACATCATTATTTTTTCAGTATGCTTGAAGGGCTCTGTGGATGAGTACTTAAAAATATGTATTAGTTATAAAATTACTTGTATTACTTGTTTGGCTGAATCTTTTGTCTGTAATAGGCTTTTAATTAAGGTTTACTGAGAATGAGATTAAAGAAATAATGATTATATTTTGCCCTTGAAAAGACTGCTCCAGTTATCACTGCTGCTATTCTCCTGCCAACCCACTTTCTCATCTGCTTTTCATCCTGTTTGAGCTAATTCTGCAGCAAGTGCTGGCTGCATTCAAGGGCCTCCTATAACTTTATCAGCATACCCAGTGTGTCAAGGCAAATCTAGAAAGAAAGTAAGAGTGTATTTTCTCCTTATATGCTGTTTGACAGAAAAAATGTATTTAGTATATAGTTTTTTTCAAGTGTGCTCTCCAACTGTGTCTATAGATTAATGATATTTTATATCCTTCAGGACCATCCTATGAGGAAAGTGCTTCTGGTTAACTTGGGAGAACCATGAAATCTCTGTTAAAAATTTTTCTTCTGTCTGTTTCCTTTTTAGAATTCCTATTGCTAAATCAAAGAGAAGTAGCTGGGAGCTCTCTGTGCATCTAGGAGATGGAATTTACCCAGTTGCAGTTTCAAAGCATGGCTCATCATTTTCTGTAAGTTCTGCTCATTTCCTAAGAAATTCAGTGCATTGAGTCAATATATATATTATCCTTGACATCTGCTAAAATTCTCCATCTTTTTGTTGACTAAGGATAGATGTGTGGTTTGTCTTTAGTAGGCATTGCTGTTAATTACCAAACAAGACCCTGACAGTTAAATAATGCTGAGTTGAAAAGATTCAGATAGTGTACTGAGATTTTTCTCAGGGCTCATGCCTGTGGAACATTTTTGTATATATATTTGTTTATTAAATTAGTTTCTGAATTATTCTGTGTAGTGTCTTGTTTGGAAGTAGCATCTTATAATGGAGCATATACTCCATTATAAATATATGAGAGCAAGAAAACAAATGCAATGTTGACAAAAATTGCATTACCTCAAGCTAGTGTTTAGACAAACAAATCAAAGATCCAAGCCAATAGAATAAGCAATCATCTTGGAATGGCATTATCCAGCACTCTGTGCTAGAACTGTACGTGGTCATAGTAAAATGCCAGTGCTTCAGGATGTGCTTATTCACTTCAGATGAATGTGTATAAACTTTTGTTTTTTACAAATGTTCTATGGTAATTGCTAAAGCACTTAATGTTGTCAGCATGAAAGGCAGAAGGACAGACCATGACAGTAGAAGAACAGTAATGCTGGGTTTGGTAATTCAGCTGTTCAGCAGAATAAAGGCAAGACACAGGCTGGTTGAAGTATTAAGAAGATAAATTTATAAGGAGAACTGCTTTTTATGTCTGTTAATGGTGATTCCACAACCAGAATGAGATTGTATTTTTTTTTAAATAGGCAGTTGACTTGTATAGTATTTGTTGACTCTTAGGCAAAAGGTTTCAAAAGGGCCTTAATAAGGCAGATTTTCTTAGAATGGCAGTGACACACCCTACTTGCTGAATTGTTGTTTCAGAAGCAGAGGCCAAGTCTTCACACGGTTTTTAAAATCTACATAATACTCCTAACAGGCATCCTGTGAGCTTGGATGCAGCCCATTCAAAGAACAGAACACCTCTGTCAGATTTCAGCCCAGTTTAGAGTTGGGCTGGCACTGGCTTGTGGGACAGATAGCCCTTCCCAGGAGCAGTCATTGCCCTCAGCCTTTCCTCCTTTTTGTTGCAGCACAAGAGCTGCCTGCTGCTGTGGGGATAGCCTGCTGGTTGCTGTGAGTGTTGCATAGCCCTGGCTGCTGTGGGCTCAGAGATCTAATTCTCATAGTTAGACTTCTCCAAACCAGGGAGCTGTTTAGCACAGCCAATTACACAAGCATACATCTGCACACATTTTTAGAGATTTGCTTGAGTCCAAACCTGTCTCTCACTTTCAATGGAGCTGCTAATAGTTGTAATGTCTTGCAACAGTATGAGAATTACAGGTAGTATAAAGCAGTTTGACAAGGTGTACGTGGAGTCTGATTTCTGATCATTTGGTTTGTTATTCAAACAATAAGAAATGTGAAAGTTCCTTCTCATATCTTTGTGTCCCTGCAGTGAGTTACTGCTTTTACCTTCTACTGCTAGGCAGGGAGGCAGGAGCATCCCTCAGTGTCAGAGAAGGGGTGCCTAAGCACTACGTAAAAATTAGGAGTGCAGATTAGGACCAGCTGTGGGCCTAAAAGCCTGGGTCAGAGGGATTGTGACAATTGCTTTTGCATTTTATTTCCACTTTAACCATGCCTGTATACTTGGGGAGATGTAATTCCTTATTTATTTGTGTCTGGAAAATACCTGGTGAAATAAATCACATCAGGTGGATTTCAGGAGAAGTCTGTTTCACTTAAACCATAGACCTATAAAGATATAAAAGTGTATTAAAATTTGTGTGTTAAAAAGTGTATTAAAATACCTATAAAGTATATTAAAAATTGGATCTGAGCTTAGTCATGTAAAAAGCAGGAAACTCTTTTTTAATAGCAGGGTTGTTTAGAGTTAAACTTATTTTTATTGTTGCTGGATAAAGAGCAGAGGACATGTTATTCTTCATCAGTAATTTTCTTTTTCCTGGTGTTCTCCTGTGATTGTCATGCAGATAAGAGTTTATAGTAAATACAGCACCGTCAAAAATCTGAATTGTTATTCAAAACTTTACAATGGAAAACCAACTGCCTTAAAACTTCAAAGAAGAGTCAAGACTAGGAATGAGAAATCTTGTTTCTGATCAGGAGGTGTAACATGCCATCAGGAAAAAAAAGGGGAAATTCAAAGCTTGCTTTATTAACTTTGCTATCAGAAACACAAACCTCACTTTTTGAACTTCTGCATTTAGGTTTTTGCTATTAAGCTGGTGTGACAGAGGCTTCTGCCTTTGTGGGTTGTGTCCCCTCATGGTTTGTGACAAAGATAGCTGAACCTGTGGTGCAGTTGGATAGCCCAGTGGGAGGGCCACCTTCACGTTCCCCTTCAGAAGTTTACTCGGCTGCAAACCGTGCTTTGCACAGCGGCATTCGCATCCTGAGTTACTCTGTTTACCACGGGGACCCTTCCAGCAGTGCCTCTTTTCTGTCCCTGTGGCTGTGCTGCTGTCCCAGCTCCCAGGTCGGGGTGTGCAGCGCTGTGCGCTCCCAGCTGTGCCGCGCTCCCTGCCTGCGGCTCCGAGTGCATCGCTCTGCAGCTCTTTGGGCTACGGGTCAGCTCTCGTTGGCTTCCTTTAGCAGGAGATTCCTGATGAATTCTGCAGTGCTAACTGCTCTTCGCTGCTCTTTATTTTTCAGAATTTTGAGTTTTGAAACCATCTGTTTTTAACTACTTTGTTTGTAACAGAGGTCCTTGATGGGGGCTGGCTTTAGGCCACTTCAGCAGCCTTGCTTCCCAAAACTGAAGGATTTAAAGGATAAGTGGTCAACAAGTGTGAACGATGCTCTTTGCTTGAAGCACTGCAAACAAAAATATTAATTTTTCTGATTCCAGTAGAGGTTGAAAACTTCTGTGAATCCTAAGTTGATATATTTTGGGGCAAGAAGTAATTTGATTTTTATTCTGAAACCAGCAACATATATACTAGTACTTAAGTTTATATAAAATTATTGTACTAGAATTTTCAGTACCAGACAGTTGTTTCTGGTGATAGCCCATCAACATAGCAAATGCTTTTGCAATTAAAAGATTCCAATGACCTGACTTGAGAAATAAAATTTAGCAGCTTTGGTGGGACCTGCTTGCTTGTGTATGAAGAACTTGACAACTAAATTGATGTAAATGTCATTTATTCTTTTTTTCTTTGTTCTATATATTAATTGCTAGAAGAATCTTTAAACTAACTGCTTGTCATGTATACCACTTAGTTTTTCAGAGGACAGATGGTCAGATTCTTAGCTTTGATTAGTGTTCTTATGCTTAAATTTTTTTCTCTTGAAATAAATTGAAATAAAGATCTTGCAGTCAAGATTGCTTCTAAAATAGAATTTGAAGGAAGAATACCTTCCATTACATGAGACAGTAACAAGCAATGCAAAACAGCAACAAGCATCCCACCACCAGACTCTGGAATCTTTTGTTTACTTCAATTACAAACAGGAGTCTTTCCCTTCTTGCCATTTTCAATTTCTACTCTGGGTATCAAATGTGTTTATGATTTCATTGATTGAGATTTGCTGTTGAAGGTTGGAGTCTGTTCTTCTTTTATAAAACTCGGCTGTTCTGCAGGGTATTGAAGGGTGGGAGAGACGAAATCAAATGGGAACCTGCATATGTTGAGGAAACCTGGTTAGCTGTGTGGTTTCCCTGCAGTGTATGAATATGGCCCTTCAAAACCAGATGTCAGCCACCAAGGATGGTCTAATTCCATGTGATGGTGGCATTGTTTATTCATAGGATGGTTTGAGTTTTAAGGGACCTTAAAGGTCATTTAGTTCTAACCCTCCTTCCAACCTAATTTTAGTTCAATGAGGAACTTGTAACTGTATTCTATGCAATAAACTTAATTCTTGATAATATTTTTGCCATTATCCATTTTCTGATTATTTGCTGCAGTGTAGGAATACTCTGTCTTGAGAATTCTTTATTGATGATTTGCATGTTTTCTCTGCAAGTAATTGTTATTCTCCTTTTTCATGTTTGAAAACAGTCCTTCCTGTTAGGGTTCTTCATCTCTGTAGTAAATGCATACCTTCCCAGACTGCTTAGCCTCATCTTCTCCTAGGTTTAGTTGTCAAAGAATTTCCAGATGTTTTCAGTTATAAAGTAGCTTCTTATCATTGAAGTTGTTTATTTTTTATTTTTTTAAGCATAAGGTGTCATAGTTCAGAAGTTACTTTGGGCAAATGGAAATTCGATATATTTCCAGAGGGACCTGCATAGGTCAAATGTTGAATAAGAGGAATAGAGAAAGCTAAATTCCTTAATTCAGGTTGTTACTAGAATGGGCTACCATTTTCACAAAACATTGGATGACTTCCTAAATCCAAATTTAAGAAGAGATAAATGTAATACAGATATGAAATACAGAGAAGAATTTTTTGAAGCTTGTTCAGTCCAGTTGAAAATAAATGTTTTAAATAATTTTTAGGAAAAAACCCAGTGTTTTTCCCCTATCTTTTTCTTGAGAAGTAAAGAATTTATTAGATACCTGTGTGGGTGGAAAATCAGCCTGTGTACCTCTTAACATTTCTAAGAGAAAACCTATTGTATAGTACAATATGCCAGCATAAAAATAAAATCGAAAACATTACTGTCATCATTATTTGAATTTATCCTATAGGATCAATATAGACTAGGTGTATGTTTATGTGAATGCTTTAGTTAGTGAATTCATGTTTATCTAGCTAAGCTTTGACTTCAAATTCAAATATAATAAGCATTTAATTTTGAGAACTTTGGTGTATTTATTTACTGTAAATTTCATGACTGATGAGTAAGTTTATTTGAAAACTACTTCAGGAAATATTTTCATTGTGTTGTAAATTCACTTTTGGGGGGAGGAAAGAATACCACCCAAAAATCAAACAGAAGTATGCAAAGCATCAAGTGGAATGAGGAATAGTATAATGGAAAATCAGAGC